CTTTTCGTTCTAATTTCCCAGTGTTCTTCTTCCAGCCAGGAATCTCATTCTTTGTAGATTGAGTCTGTCGCAAAAATTTTTCAAATCTTCTGGGACCTAAGATATGCTGTATTTCCATTTCTCCATCCTATTAGGCACTCAGGGGTCCCCCATTCTATATTGCACCTTTTGTTCTTTCAATCTTTCCAATAGAGGTTCTAAGGGTTCTCCTTCTCCATAAAGTCTCTGGTGACAAGTCCGCATATATCTGTAAGTCCTTTCCTTCATACATAATTACTGCTTTTCCCTTTATCTCTTCCAAATTTTATCTTTATCTAGGAATTCACAAAATTTGACAAGTATATCTCGTGGCCTATCTTTTCCCGAATTTCCTTGGATTTTTCCTTGTCTAGAGATTCCTTCTATTTTTAAAGTTTTTTTCCATATTAGTACTGTCCATTATGGAATTTAATATTTTACAGACATCTCTTGCAAATTTTCTCCTTTAGAATTCTCTGGGACTCCACGTATCCTAATATTTCTCCTCCTATTCCTATTTTCTTGTATCTCAGCCTTATAAAACAATTTTTCTTGTGCTTTCCTCATATTAATTATTTCTTTTTCCAATTCGGCAATAGTTTGGGACTGGTTTTTGACTTTTTTCCTCCGTTTCTTCCACTCTCACCAAAAGGTGACCCAAATCATTTCGAATATTTACAATTTCTTGTTTTATTGTTTTCTCCAGATCTTTGAACATTTCTGCATTTCTTTTTTGTTTGGTATTTGTAGCTCTGTCTCCATCTCTGTAATTAGCAGATATTTGTTGGCTGCTAATGTCAAGGCCTAGTGATAGTCTAGGGCTACTTTCCAGGCTTAGATCTACTTCACCTTTTCCACTTTTGCCCTGGAGTCCTTTCTGGGGTTATATTTCCCTGGGAAGTGTATTTTTTAATAGTGCCAGTCTGAGTCCCTTTTAGCCCACTTCCTTTTGTACTTTTATTTTTCATTCTTCTATTGCTCTTATTCTTCTTTATTGGCTCGGGGTTAAGGAGAGATAACTATTAATATATACGTCACTACTTATCCACTCATTTGATTTTCCAGCTTTTTATTCGTTTTTCCTCTTCTCCTTTTCACTATTTTATATTTCCCACTCAAGGGGCTCCCCTCTCTTCTCTCACACACTGCCTCTCCCAACAGCCCACAGGAAGCACATAATTTTGTTGAGACTCGGTCAGAGTCACACTCACCCTGCTCGTGTCCTCTCTTCTTCTCGGGGCCCAACCAGCATTCCTCTCTGTCCTTCAGCTGGGCAGTGTGATCATTTTAGGGGTTCCTCCAAAAAGAATCCTCCTCCTTTCTCTCTCCAATCCCCCGTGTCTCTCCTCCTTCAGAAGCAGGACTCAGAGCAATGGGCCAACCAGCAGGGCCCCAAACAACGGACCGACCAGCACAGCCCCCAGCAGTCCAGCAACGGTCAAGATCCCAGCCAACAAGCCGGCAGACAGAGCTCCAGGTAGAAACCGGCTGACAGGATTCTGAGCACTGGGCTAGGATGCAGAGCTCCGAGCAGTGAGCCTATTAGCAGGGCACCAGACTATCGGCGCTATAACAGGGGACCAGGTATTGGGTCTGCAGCCGTGCACCAAGGGGTAGATCCACAAGCCGATCAGCTCCTCTCTCTCTGCACCAAACACCGGCCGGCTTCCTGGTTTCCCAGTGGTGCTTAGCGGCCGGTCACGTGTCTGCACCGCTCCACCTTGTCTCCCCGCTGCCCGACACACCTTCACCCCGAGCACCGGAGCCGGATCCCTTCTCACAACTCAGCTCTCCGCAGGGTTCCTCCATCCATCCAAGGGGGACCACCGCACCGCAGCTCCACATCACAGGTAGGGGTTTGGGGAGGTGGGTGAAGGAGCTTGCCGAGAGCTCCTACATCGGGCTCTCGTCAGCCGCCAGGGTTAGGCTCCACCCCCCGGGAACACTTTGCATTGAGCACAGGTCTTCAGAAATATAATCTAGTACCAATTTTGATCTTTCTTTATTATTCATTAGTATCACCAAATGGGGACATAATTTCTCTGAGCCCTTTATTTTATGTGTGTCTATTTTCTTAATTTGACCTGTCTCCTTTTAATGATTAATTCAAGCAATTTGATCTCACATCAATTGAAGAACAAATACCATTCCTCCATGAGGTCTTTCTCCATCAGGCCATCATTAGCTGCAACATCCCACCTCAGTCTCCTGGGGTAATATAGAGTTCTTGAGTGTTCACATCCCACCAAATCTTAATGTGTTTCTCTAAAAGATTTATCCTGCATTTCCAATATAATATAGTCTATTGCAGATTATAATTTTTTTTGGATATTTTGTTTTAATAATGCGTTTTTATAGTGATTGGGTAGCTATTTTTATTTTTATTAGGCTTTACTATGTGAAGTATTGAGTAATGTTATTTCCCTTATAATGTTTTGATATTTTGTTTTGATAATTTATAATACTATGATCAGAGTTGCCCTTTAATATGCACTGGCCCTTTAAAAACACATAATTCTAGCCATTTAGTAATATTGATATAATTGCAGTTTTTAGCTTGCTGGGATCTAATGTATTGATGTATGGTATAATTGTTGTAGATTTAGATCGCTATATGAGGTTTTTAATGGTCAGCTGGCTTTGCACAAGTAATTGTGCAGCATATAAAATGTCAGCCAACGGTGACGCACATCATTCTGCTCCTGGAGGACGTCGGATGACGAAACACGTAGGGCGGGGCCTTGGAGGTGACCTCACCACATATGGGTGAGCTGCCATTGTCTGTTAAGACTGGAGCAAACCTATGCACTATATGCTAGTGTTGGCTTTGACACGGTTAAATGTGAGTGGTTTGAATACGTTTTGTGCTGAATAAATGCCTGGATGGTTTTACACTGTGTGAATTCCTTTTTTCTTTTTTTCTTTACGGTCCCATTCTGAGTATATGAGGAGCTAATTGTCATTTGAAGGAGTTTCAATCAGCTGGTGTGTGCTTCTGCAGATCATTGCTCCCAGAGCTTAAGTGGTTGAAGCTGGTTTATAATTTTACCAGCATGGAGCTTTGGTGAGTGGATTCAATTTATTTGGTGGTGAATTTTCACTGTGTTTTTGGTCACATTATAGAAGAGTTTAATATAAAGTATTGAAGAAAATTTATTGTTTCATGCACACTATTTTTATGAATATTATTATTTATATGGACTTTTTTGTTGGACACTAATTCATTCATCTATTCACAGAATTACTTGTCACATTTATTTGCCTTGTTTGGTATCATCTGGTAGATTATTTATTTTATTTATACACCATTATTTATTGATTTAGCTGAGTTCACTCATTCAGAGATATATTAATTTGAGGAGTGCTGCCTTTAGTTTTTTTGTTGTTATAAAAGGGCAATATATTGTGTTTTTGTGCATTAATATTAAAAAAGTGTATTTTTTCCAAAACATTTGCGTTGAAAAATCACTGCACAAATACTGTGTGGCATAAAAAGATTTCAATACTCACCATTTTATTCTCTAGGGCCTCTGCTTTAAAAAATATATAATGTTTGGGGGTTCAAAGTAATTTTCTAGCAAAAAAACTGGTTATTCATGTAAACAAAAAGTATCGGAAAAGTCTTGTTCTTCAAGTGGTTAGAAGAAGAGTGGGGATGTGTGGCATAAGCTTCTAATGTTGGTCCTGAAATGCCAGGATAGTGGAAGCAACCCCCCAAATGACCCCTTTTTTGGAAAGTAGACACTCCAAGGTATTTGTTAAGGGGCATCGTGAGTATTTTGAAGATCTTATTTGTTGCCACAAGTTTTTGGAAAATGAAGAAAGAAAACGAAAATGTATTTTTTTTTATTTTTCAAAACCCTGTGACAAAATGATATCTGCAAAATACTCACAATGCCTCTTATCAGATTCCTTGGGGTGTCTACTTTCCAAAAAGGGGTCAATTATGGGGGAGGGGGTGTTTGTAGTAGCCTGGCATTTTAGGACCTCTGTGATAGGTAGTGAGGAAGTGACATGAGTAAATATGCCCTTTGAAAGCCTGGAGGTGGTCATTGGATTTTGGGGGCCTGTATGTGTGGCTGGCTGACAAAAAGTCTCTCACATGTGGTATCCCCATACTTGGGAGAAGTAGCAGAATTTTTTTTTTTGGGTGTTATTCCACATATACCCATGGCATGTGTGGGCAATATATCATTGTGTGACAACATTGTATACAAAAAAAATTATCATTTCCCAAACATTTATGGCAAAAAATAAAACCTTCCATGGACTCAACATGCCTCTCAACAAATTCCTTTGGGTGTCTACTTTCTAAAAAGGGGTCATTTGAGGGTGGGGGGGGGGGTTGCAAGTCCTGGCATTTTAGCACCTCAAGAAAAGGCAGTCAGAAAGTAAAAGATGACTAAATTCTAATATACTGTATATACAATAGTTTGTAGACACTATAATTTCACACAAACCAATTAATATACACATATTGGGATTTTTTTTTACCAAAGACATGTAACAGAATACATGTTGGCCTAAATGTATGAATAAATTTTAGTTTATTGGATATTTTTTATAACAGAAAGTAGAAAAAAATTGTTTGTTTTTTCACAATTTTCTGGATTTTTTTTATATCACAAAGTATAAAAAACCCAGTGGTGATCAAATACCACCAAAAGAAAGCTCTATTTGTGTGAAAAAAGGACATACATTTAATTTGGGTAATGTGTTGCATGACCTGTGCAATTACCTATTGAAACAGCACAGCTGCAAATAGAAAAGAAAATGACCTGGTTATGAAATCATACAAAGCTGAAGTGGTTAATGAATTGACTTTAATGATTTATCTTATGTTTTTTCTGGTGTTTACCTCACATTTGATATTTTACTTTGATGAATTGACTCATATTATCTCATGTGATATTTCCAAAACATGCATTCCATTGATGTGCATAGGTTCAAAAAGAGGAAGGAGGTTTTTGTATAGCTCTGTATCACTGTGTGAGAGGGAGCTCTATGTACTGCTGACAGTAATATTTTCCTTCTTCATCTTCAGTTACTCCCTGTATTGTCATTGTGAATTGAGTTCCTGATCCAGATCCACTGAACCTATCTGGAACCCCGGATGCTCGAGTACTGGTGTGATATAAGAGGAGTTTAGGAGGTTGTCCTGCTTTCTTTTTGGTACCAGGCTATTAAGTGAGCGCTTGCTCCAGACCAATAAAGATTTTTACTGGATGTACATGTGATGGTGACTGTCTGTCCTGGGGACACAGAGATAGAATCTGGAGTCTGAGTCATCACAATCTCTCTCCACAGGATCCTGAGGATGGGAAGAGACATATTGACTATCAATAGAATTCACCATAGGATGCAACAAAATAGAGCAACAGTTTTCTGTACATATAATTTAAGCTGTATGTAAGGATCTCCCTATACAATAATTGCATGCCAAAACATTCCTAAGAAATCTGCTAGAATTATCTGATGATAATTAACTTTTCTGTTCCTAACTATTATATTACAGCTGATAACATAAACACAAAATATCCTCATACCTTGGATGTAGACATAAAAGACACAGAGTAGAGGCAGAGGAAGCATCTTCATGGGTCTGGTCTGTCACTCACACAGATCATTGACCTTCATGGTAAACTGTTTATATAACATGAAATCTATAGGGAAATAATCTCAGAGTTTCACTATGTAAAGCAGAAAATATTCAAATGTTACAGCATATTATATCTCAGTGCTCAGTAGAATGTGGAAAAGCAGCAGTGTGATGTCAGGGTAGATGCACCCAGCATATTGCATGCAGTTGTGCTTGCTATGTAAGATTTGCTGTAAAATATTTTCCACCTTCGAAGAGAATATAGAAAACCTGTACTTATCCCCCAACTACTTATCAGTATGGATTATTGATAATGAGAGTTTTAATTTCCCCATTACCTCTGAAAAAATCAGGAGATTTTACCAAAAAAATGGCCATTTTGATGAAATACATGTTAATCCATGGGAAAGTCCAAGTAAAGGTGGAGCTTAGTGGTTTTAAGGGTGGAGTGAGAAATAAATGGCTTCGGAGAGTCCGGGAAGCTCCTTAGCCTATTCTTGTGCCAAAAAATCCCCTCATTAGTCTCAAAAATTAGCTTTTTTCAATAGACAATGAAAAACAAGTAAAGTCAAAAAGGTAAAGAAACAATACACGAATAACAATTAAATGCACAATAAACACAAACCCACAAATACAAATAAATCCTAGGGGTTTAGTTATCTATGATTTTGCCCAGTATTACCCAAAATGTTTTGGTGAACATTTACTCTGTGGGTTTTAGCTGCTAAAGGTAAATAGGGTTTTTCACTTTGCAAGGGAGTTTTGCCAATGGGCTCCCACTGCAGTCTCATAAAAAAGAGAGAAGCAACGCCATCTAAGTGCAGCAATAAAAGCAAATATTTTCCTCAAAATTGGCAACTCACAATAGTAGTAATCATATGAGGGCTTGTCAAAGTGATGTCAACAGCTGTGCAACTCCTGGCAGGTCCCGCTGCAGACAGGTCTCCAATGCACTGTCCTTGGCTGTGCTGGTGGTTCCCAGTACTTCCTGATTGGTGTGGATCCACAAGGCAGTGTCCTGCTGCTGTCTCAGCCAATGAGGAGGAAGAGTCTCAAAACAGCAGAGGCTATCGAGAACGTCGCTGGATCGGGAGGGAGCTCAGGTAAGGATTGGGAAGGGGGGGCTGGGGCAATGCTACACACAGAAGGTTTTCATGTGGTCATGCAACACTGAACCCATATGAAATTTACATGCTTTTTCTTCCATGATTTGAACTTTCTTTTGGCTGTATTTGATCAACTGTACGGTTTTATTTTTTGCGCTATAAAAAAAAAAGACCGACAATTTTGAGAAAAAAAACAATATTTTTTACTTTATGCTATTAAACATGTCAACAAATTAAAAAAATCTAATTTCTTCATTAATTTACGCCAAAATGTATTCTGCTACATGTCTAAAGAATATCCCAATACGTGTAAATTAATCGGTTTACGTGAAAGTTATAGCATTTACAAATGGTGGCATATATACTGGGATTGTTTTTTTTTTAATTTTTACTAGTAATGGCGGCGATCAGCGACTTTTAGCAGGACTGCGGGACTGCGGTGGGCATTCTAACACTGGGGGGGAACTGACTTGGTGTCACTGACATCCCCAGTGACACCAATACAGTGATCAGTGCTAAAAAAGAAAAAAAGACTGAATGAGGAAAGAACAAAGAGAGGGCGCACAGGCCTAGTGCATTACCATAAAAAATGTTTAATAAGAAATAAAATAGGTGTTGTACTCACAAACGACAATAAAGTCAAGGCACATCATAAAAGAACAGCTGGGTCAACACCTCGGCTCTGAGGAAGAGGAAAGTCCTCGAAACGCATCAGCCTATTGGATGTCTACATTCCCGTTACGGACTGTTACTCAGCGCGGTGTTGACCCAGCTGTTCTTTTATGATGTGCCTTGACTTTATTGTCATTTGTGAGTACAACACCTATTTTATTTATTAAACATTTTTTATGGTAATGCACTAGGCCTGTGCGCCCCCTCTTTGTTCTTTCCTCATTCAGTATATTTGGATTCCCCCGGTCTGTTGAGGGCAACAAGGTGTGCATGTTCCAGAACATTCTTAATGTGGTTGCAGCCTGCATCGAGTCCATCCCCAAGCGCAGGAGCATTTGTGTTTGCTAAAAAAAAAAAAGCACTGACTGTACTAATGGCACTGGGCAGGGTTAACATGAGGGGCAATCAAAGGGTTAACTGTGTGCTGTGAGTGTTTTACTGGGGGCTGTGTGTTGGTGCTTCACTGTAAGCACACTGCTCTAGATACAGAGTAGTGTGCCTGAGCCGACAGGAAGGAGGACTGTTAGTAAACAAAGCAGCCCTCTTCCCCATCGGAAATCCACTGTAATCACCGGGCGCCAACGGGTAACCACCAGCTGGGACCCGGTGATTTCCAGCCGCGAATGGCGGCGCAGGTAGGGCGCGCGTTCCCCCAGTAAATACAAAATCACGTATATATACGTGATTTTGCGCACCCCCCTGCCGCCCTGTAGCAGTATTTCTGCTATAGGGCTGCAGAAAAAGTGGTTAATTAACTAATAATATTTAAACTTTTTTTGTTTTTGTTTGTTTTGTTTGTTAATATTTTTACAGCTTTAACACATATTTACAAACTTCACATTTAAAAAAGCACATCATTTTGGTGTCACTTTAAACAGGACAAATTACAAAATAAAATGTGCACTTTTTATGTGCAGTAGCACTATTTATTTTTAAATTAACACTCCTCAAAAAAAAAAAAAAAAAGGAAAAAAAGCGCACTTTGTTACGCAATGTTACATTTAATTGCCTAAGGATTGCAAAAAAAAATTGACGCAAGACAATATTCACTAAAAGAAAGCCTTGTTTGTCCTTAAAAAAATATATGTATTACAAAAAATATAAGTAATGACAAAGTAATCGCTGAATAAAAAAGCCCATAACAGAAATGTAAGAATTGCTCTGGTCTGTAGGGGGTGAATAGGTGTGAGAGGTGAGGTGGTTATGCTGGTCATACACTGATGGATATTTGGCTGGTTAAGTAAGGACTGGATGAATTTCGATCAGTGTGTGGTTATCCCCTGCTCAACAGAAGTTGATTATTTGATCAACTTCTGTCATAGACGCATTCTAGAAACTGTTTGTCAGTTACCGGTGGCACTCCATCAGCTGCAGACGCTGTTTAGTGTATTCTGACAGCACTGAGTCCTGCTGTCAGAATACAACCTTCTGTTGGGGAGTTTCATTCATCCACCTTATTTGTGCGGAACAAGGAATCCCTTCTTTTTTTATTGTTTCACCCGCTTGCTGCAAAAATTGACTCATCTACTGCCACTTTAAGATTAAAAAAATTGGCTTCAGGCAAAGACCTTATACACAATGGTTTTCTTATCCTTTACTGAAGGTATGCAGTAAGGAAAGATACAAAGAAATACACTATATTGCCAAGTATTGGTTGGCCTGCCTTTACATGCACATGAACTTTAATGGCCTCCCAGTCTTAATCCCAATGGTTCAATATTGAGTTGGCCCGCCCTTTGCAGCTATAACAGCTTCAACTCTTCTGGGGAGGCTGTCCACAAGGTTTAGGAGGGTGTCTATGGGAATGTTTGACCATTCTTCCAGAAGCGCATTTGTGAGGTCAGGCACTGATGTCGGACAAGACGGCCTAGCTTGAAGTCTCCGCTCTAATTTAGTCAGGATGAGTTCAGGACTCTGTGCAGGCCAGTAAAGTTCCTTCACCCCAAACTCACTCATCCATGTCTTTATCAACCTTGCTTTGTGCACTGGTGTGCAGTCATGTTGGAACAGGAAGGGGCCATCCTCAAACTGTTCCCACAAAGTTGGAAGCATGAAATTGTCCAAAATGTCTTGATATGCTGACACCTTAAGAGTTCCCTTCACTGAAACTAAGGGGCCAAGCCCAACCCCCGAAAAACATCTCTCACGTTTTAATCCCTCCTCCACCAAACCTTACACTTGGCACAATGCAGTCAGGCAAGTACCGTTCTCCTGGCAACCACCAAACCCAGACAAGTCCATCGGATTGCCAGACAGAGAAGCGTGATTGGTCACTCCAGAGAACATGTCTCCACTGCTCTAGAGTCCTTTTCTGGACAATTAAACTCTGACAACCCCTGTGAGACTTATCAGACTACCACAAACGTGAACCCATCATGTGATCACCATTACTGTTGTGCCATGCAAAAACACATGTAATAGTCTGGTATCCAGGGCTTCTACAGGGTTTCATTGGTTTACTAAGCAGTGAAAGTCTTCTTCTGTGGTCCATTTATTTCAAATTGCTGGCTTTATAACTCGCTTAGTAAATTGGTCTGGGTTATACACAATGGAAAAGTTTGACACAGCAAGTTTCTGACACTCATCCCAGGTGACTATTCCTGGTAACTTCCCTGCTATTATCATAAAACTGTTAAGATTTGGACCAAGACTTTTTTTTAAATGTTTGTATCTTTTTAAATGTAAC